AGTCATGTGACTGTTTCTATACTGTGTGTGTGTGTGTGTGTGTGTGTGTGTGTGTGTGTGTGTGTAGGTATACTTGTACCTGATGAAGAAAAAATCTTCTCTAAAGATTGTACATTTGTTACTGTGTTAAACTTCTAATAGTTTTCTTTATTATCCATTCAATCCAGCTCTAAGCTGCAAAAAGTTACCTTACCTCAAATTATCTAATGTCTCCTCATTTAAAAATTCCTGTAGCTTTCAGACAGATACAATTTATTGTGCAAATACTTTCACAATTCACAAACAAGAAACTGCATGAAAATAATCTTGAACCAATATATTTATTATAATTTTATAGTATAATCTTTGCTCTATCCAATGATATTTAAATTTTCTGAAAAGTTCTTTTTAAAGCTGTTTCATTAATAAATAATCAAATAATTTTATGTTGCAACATAAGATTTTCACCAAGGCCTGCATAAATACGGAGAGAAATGCTTGAAAATCATAAAATATATAACATATTCGTGAGAAGTGGTAGGTCCTTGGCAAAAATAGTTATTCTTTGTTACGAGCACACACACACACAAAAAAAAATAATAATAATAATAATAATAATAATAATGTTAAAATATTCATTCTAAAGTATTTTTGAGTTAAAATTGTTGAAATAAAGTTTGAATTAACAGACAAAATTGACTTAAAATTTGTATCTAAATATCTTTTATCAAATGGTGAAAAAAAATATGAAAAGCTACACAAAATCTTGTCTTCAGACTACAGGCACAATAACTTAGATATAACTTTTATAATACTAAACTTTGTACATGAAAATGTATCACACAAAATGCCACTGCATCGTTTAACATTTACAAACAATAAGATTTACTCACTTACCAGTCACCTATTACAAAAATACTATGTACTCTTTTCCAAATAATTCAGTATTATTTTATGTGTTTATAAGCATGTTTACAATAATGTCAGGGCTTAAAGCTTTGTATCTATAACTACACAGTTATTCAAAAGCTTTGTAAATCAACCATAGGAAATAAATAATAACTAATTTTATTTATATATTAGGCAAACAAGTATTTAGCCAAAATAAAAACCTAGTACTTTTGGATATTCTTCAAATAGCCTAGATTTAAAATAAAACAACACAGAACTATAACATCAATTTGTTTTGTAAAATAAAACTTGATAGTTATAACTTTATCTTAAAGTCTGAAAACCAGCAGGGAATGAAAAAGAAAAAAAAGCAAGAAAAGTAACAGTTTAACTTCTCCATGCCAACTGCAGTAATGTTTCATTTTCAATGGTGTTATGATATCAGTTAACCTTTTAAAAGGTAGCCGTGTCATACTATAATAAAACTTTCAGTATTTTACATTAAAGAGTGGCTTCCACTATAATATAGTATTTTGGATTAATCAGTTGAGTATAAAGTCCTAAAGTAGTCTAAGTAAGTCAAACAGTTAAAATAAATACACTATGCAAGTGATTAGTTCAATCAAGTTATAATCCGGTGATTTCAAAGCTTGTATTTTTATTTCTAGTAAAGTGATTTATATGAAAATAAAAAACAAACATTATAATTTTTAATTGAAATTAAATAGTTAATTAATGATAACCATATTTAGAAAAAAATTAAAGCACCGGTAAACAGGATGTTCATTTTCAATATTTTTTAAAGTCATTACTTATATGGTCATACCACATGCATTTTCACCTTTTTCATACATAAGAACATGAAAAACATCCTTCTCATGATAATTCTCACTTCTTCACAATGAACAGTTGATTCTGTAACAAGTTATGCAACAAGAGCTGCATATTTCATAAACAATACTAACAATTTTAATGAAACAAATCTCTTAAATTCTAGAAACACTGTTAGTGTCTGGAAAATGGAAAGTATTAAAAATTTATCAAAGCAATATTCAATTGATGTTCCTATCGTTACAGTAGCTTAGAATTAATTATTAGTTGAGGCCTTAAACAGATTGCTACAGACTAAAGTTTTGATTTGTGAAAATCTTAAAAAGCTGTTATGGCAATTAAAAGTCCAGTCACATAAAAAACAAAAAAAACAACAACTGACATTTAACATTCCTTTCTTGATACCATATGGTAGTGTAAGAATGTTTTATTAATTAAAAAAATAAATAAATAAAAATGGAGGGGGTTGAACCTCTCTAAATCCATGCTTGCTAATACAATATTAAAGTACACAGTTATGCAACACGTTAAAAAGAACAGTAAACCTGCACTTTATTTAACATTTAAAGTCACAGAATTAAAAGCAGGTGCTACCAGCTAATTGACTTCCCTCTAGACAATAGTTCAAGATTAATGACAGTATCAGAAAACCTCAGTAGCTTTGCAATAACAAACACAGGGCAAGCAAATTTAGTGGCAGTAGAAATTGAAGCGGGGTTAAATCTTGTCCATATATAGAATATCCATCTTAAAAAAATAACTTGAAATAAGCTGATTTGAATACAATATATTAATTCGCCAACAGCAGATATACAAATCAGTCTTCGACTGGTCTCAAAATTGAAAAATATTTATATAATTTAAGAATCAAGGCCTGATCTTTTAAAAAAAAAACACATGTGCATGTGTATAAATGCCATTTGAAGATATTTCAGTCTAACAGAAAAAAATTATTTTCATATAAATTGCATAAAAAATTACCTTGCCATTTTAGGTCTTCATTCAGAGCATTTCTCTCTTTATCAAGACTATTGGGCCCTGATGTTCCATTAGCCCCTTCTTCAGAAGTCTCAAGAGCATTCAGTTCCCGAATATCGTAAACAGGACTCCTCAAATCATGGATTCCATGTGCAAATGCACAATGTGGCCCATTTTTTGTACAGTAGCCCCTGCTATCTGTGTCATGAACACATATTCCAGTTTTGTAATAGCGTAGATGATAACGTCTTTCTGTATCTCCAGCTGTACGGTGAAGGTAAGGACAACTGACAGATATAAAAGAAAAAAATTCCAGAACTTGGTATACTATAAAATTAAGTTTCGTATACAAATATACGACTAGTATGCTATAAATATTTTTGCAAAGAAAATGTTAGCAAATTTAGTTTTGTATTGGTTTATCTCTAAGCAAGTTTTTCAATAATTTATTCCAGAAAAACATGTTCCGAGATAACCCAATACTTTTCTAACCTAAGCTTGTACAGAAGCTTTATTTTTGGTTATATTATTACATGGTTTATTAGCAGAAAAAAATATTATTTCTGTTTGTTGTCAAAAAATTTCTTGGTCCTCAATTTATTTTAACCTCTTCATGCACTTTGATGCTATTTGATAAGTTTCTTTTTGGACATACAATAACTTTCAATGGTGTTTTGAGGTTTATAGTTGAATTCTAGATATACAACATCTGTATAACCTTCACTGCTAATTTAGATTATTATCATTTTCACTAATTATTTTCTTTTAATGGTAGATTTGATGGGCAATTAAATGTGTATTTTTTGTTGGTTAAAATAACACTTATTACTAAATATTCCCCCCTCCCCCACAGTCTTATAAAATAATGATTGCATTTTATGACTATTACTTCTAATTTGATTGAATTATTATATGAATTTTATGTCTTTAACATTCATAATATACAAGTTATCAGTAATAAATTTCAAATTTGAGGACAGTTATTGTTTTATGATTAATTAAATACTTTTGGTTACATCTATGCCAAATCTTAATAGCAACAGAATAATGGTTTAGATATTGAAACTTTTGAAAGTCTCACTTTTCTTTCTACATGATCTTTCTTTATTATAAAGAAAACAATTTTTTTTTCACATTTATTCTTCTTTTCTTAGTTTTAGAGTTTAATTTTGCAAAGTTTACAGATTTTGTAAATATACACCATTTAGTTTACTATGACAACATATTGATTATATATCCCCCCTTTAAATAACTTATTCTATACCAAAGGCTATAAACAAGTTTATTAAACACAACTTGAAGAACAACTGCAAAACAACTTCTTAAACTATAAATACATTTCTAACAAATGTTACTTTACACAAAAAGTTGTTACCAAATAGATGCCAAATTTAACAAAGAATTTAAATAACAGAAGCATTATTGATTTTCATATAAAATATAATGGTATATATCAGAGTAAGAAAAAGCAAAAATTCCTCTCTATTTTCATTTTACTGCTGTTAATCATTCGCAATTTATTGAGCATACCCAAGTAGGTATTATGCAGATCTGACTACTAACATGGCAACCACATAGTGTCAATAAGTTTAATATCTTACTTACAAAATCAGCTAGCTCACTTAGATAAATCACATAACATTCACTTTCAATCAAAAGTTAATTTTCTACTTAAAATTTAAATAACAATAGCAGCACTTACTTTCAGAAGTAAACCACAAATTACATTATTTTTCCAGAAGCAGTTAATGCTAACTGAAAATATTCGTGATTTTCTGACACCAATCTAAGATTCAACTTTAATACAAGACTAACTTTGATGTTGTCATTTGTTACACACATTTTAAAACTCGTTACTCACTTACTTCTTGTACTACTACTACTACTGCTCACTTTACACGTGTCATTGTTAGTGTTAACTTGAGTTACACTGTTACAGTTCACTTAAATAAAAAAAACAACAGAAAATCCAACTCAACACACTTTTGTTTCAAAGCGATTTCATTGAGCTCTTAAAATCTATTGTATACTAATCAAAAATTCAGTTGAAAACAGTGGCAACAGTCGTTACATGTGTATTATACAACAGAAATTTAATCTTCGCTCATTTATATCCCTCAATAGTAGAGGCCGATTTGAACTATTCTTGTATAACAGCAACCTTACGCCATGCGCTTGGTTAAGTCACCGCTCATAGGTTCTCATTTCGACGTCATAAACGCGCGCCAACATGGCGTGTGTACAACTATAATTATGATGGCGGACTGTATGTTTACAATTACAAGTCAGTTCTTATATGTGTATATCTCTGACACCAATTAATGACACCAACTTTGCTTTGGTCAATATATCTAGAAACACAATTCCTTTAGATATTTTCAAAATGCATTCAATGAAATAAAGTAATTAAATACATTTATTGGGGCAGTGAATTGAGTAACAATTTCGTAGCGTTAACCACAGAGTGCCAGAGTAAATCAGTGATCTCGAATATTTCTAACACTAGTAACAGTAACATTAGTTTAAAATACGCCTCATACTCACTCGTCTCCTTCAGGGCAAATGCCCGTTGTTTCATCATATTTCGTACAGTACACATCTGGACTGTAATTAAAAGTTCCGTCCCGTTTTCGAAATATCGGTCTTCTCCGACGTTGATTCATAAAATGCCAATAGAAACACGTGAATGGTTTATGTTGGGTACATTTATGTTGAAGAAACAGTGGACACTGCTCCACACGAAACTCTTTTAAATACCTGTAAAAACAATACAGAAATTTAAAAAATAAAATCACTGGGTTGGATGAAACGTAAAGAAGTGAATAATTATTGAATAAATCACACACTTACGTGTAATGTATTGGCTTCTCTGTCACCGTAGGCAGTGCGACAGCCCCTACTTCCGCGGTAGACGGCATTTTGGATCTCAGTTTTGAGAGCGCAGTTCCACTGCGCAGGGTACGATCTGCTGAGGACGCTATCTGATTTGTTATTATCTACACGTGATCTCATTGAGCTGTCATTTTTAGCGCGTGAGAACAAGTGTGACAGTATGAAAAACGTTGCAATGACATTTAAAGGTTTATTATACATTTTATAATACCTATTTTGTATTAATATCGTTCTTTCATAAAACGTAGAAGATAGTATAGCCATATATACATTTACTTTAAGTGTAAAACTGAAATAATATAATCTCAAAATTACGCGCAAATGTTTTTAAAACATCTCTGAATGTTTCTTATGTATCAAACAAACGTGCACTCTTGTAGAAAAATTAGACACAAAATAAACATTATTCAAACATTGGGAGCAAATACCACACATATCTATCTAACTCTATCTCTCTGTATATATAAACAGTGCCTTGCAAAAGTATTCACCTCCCTGCAAAGTTTCCACATTTAGTTGCCGTCTCTGGATAAGTCACCGTAATTTAGGTCTTTTGACGACCTGGGAGGATCAGGTTCTTAATAGACCTCTTCCTCCCTCCTGTAATAATGTTATTATATTCTATATTTTAGGATTTGTATAGTAAGTTGGTTTGGTTATTAATATATTTCTATTTCAACTTTTCTTTTCAGTGCTATGTTTCATATTATGTTATCTGGTTATGTGTGATTTTGGACTTACGTTTGCTGTGTATTTGTGTGCTGTATTGTTTGTGGTAATACAAATAGTTGTATAAATTGTGGGAGTATGAGCTTCCAATCATGAAACTTTCAAATGAGACTTTATATTTAGAATCTAAACCAAAAAAAAACGCTGATATTATGTAAGTAAGTTAGATTTTCAAGGAAAATTACAATATTCTCAATTGCATAAGTAAAGTATTCAACCCCTTTGCTACGGCAACCCTAAATCAGTTTAGGTGCAAAAAATTAGTTTGAAAGGTCACAAAATAGGCGTAATGGTATCTGTCTGTCTTGACTTCAGAGTAAATGCTGCTCAAGCCACAACTCACATAGTGATACGACAAACCAAACATGAATACCAAGAAGCTTTCCAAACAAATCAGGGATAAAGTGGTAGAGAATCACAGATCGGGAGAAGATTACAAGAAATTTTCAAAGTCGCTGATTATACCTTTGATTACGGTGAAGTCCATCAATAAGAAGTGGAATGTGCTTCATACCACCCAGTCACTACCCAGTTCAGGCCGCCCTTCCAAACTAAGCAGCCAGGCAAGCAGGAAACTGGTTAGGGAAGCCACTGTGATGCCAACAGTGACTTTCAAAGTTTTGCAAACTTCCATGTCTGAGATGGGAGTCAGTATTCATACATCGACAATATCCCGGTCTCTACATAAAACAGGCCTGTATGGGCGAGTTGAAAGAAAGAAGCCATTAACTGAAAAAGAATCATCTTAAATCTCATATGGAGTTTGCAACAAAGAATGTAAATGATACATGTGACAGACGGTTTTGTGGTGAGACGAGACAAAATTGACTTTTTGGTCTAAATTAAAAGCGTTACGTCTGGCACAAGCCCAACACAGCACATCACCCAGTCAATACCATCCCAACTGTCAAGCAAAATGGTGGCAGCATCATGTTGTGGGGATGCTTCTCATCAGCGTGGACTGGGAAGCTTGTCAGGATTGAGGGGAAGATGGATGGTACAAAGTACAGACGAATCCTAGAGAAAGACCTGTTTCAGTTAGCCAAGAATCGAAAATTGAGTCGAAAATTCACGTTTCAGCAGGACAATGACCCGAAACACAAGGCCAAAGCTACACTGGGGTGGTTTCAAAAGAAGAAAGTGAATGTCCTGGAGTGGCCCAATCAAAGTCCTGAGTTGAATCCAATTGAAAATTTATGACGAAACTTGAAGATTGCAGTCAATCAACAATCCCCAACGAACTTGTCAGAAATTTTGCCAGGAAGAATGTGCAAAAATTACACCATCCCATTGTACAAACTGGTAGAGACCTATCTAAAAAGACTCACAGCAGTAATTGCTGCCAAAGGTGCTTCCACCAAGTATTGATGTAGGGGTCTGAATACTCATGCAATCAGCAAATTTCAATTTATATATTTTATTTGTAGTTTTTGCTGATATTCAACCTCCTTCATACATAACAGTGTTAGATTTGATCATTAGAGTTTTGAATAAAAACAAATTCATTAAAAGAATGTTGCATTATTGGTAGAGGTGGATATTAAAATTATGTGCAACAAAATCTAAAATTATTTTCCAAAACTTTAAAAGGTACAGATACTTAGGATTAATTTATCAAGCAAACAAAAAACGTATAGCTATTTTTTATTCAAAAAGTCACCATCTAGTTTTAAAACACACACTCAAAGCCCTCACAAAATGAAAAACAAATGACAGTAAGGCCAAGGGATTTAAAATGCTTCATCCACCCGTGTTAATAAAAATTAATTACTTTCATGTTAATTAATGCCTTCAATATTGTCAACGAAGTATGGGTTTGCAGGCCAAATGTTCGCATCAAATTACCCAATATATGTGCTCCGCACTTGGGGGCTGTGAACACATTCTATGTGTGAAGGTCAGGTTCCACTACTTGGTTTGTTTTAGAGCAAAGCCACATTGGGTTATCTGCTGTGTCTACCGCGGGGAATCGAACCTCGTATTTTAGCTTTGTAATTAGACTTACCGCTGTCCCAAAGGGAGATCCCGCTATTTGGTCAGACAAGAATATTCCAAGAGATGGCAGTGTGTGGTGTTGACAAGCTGCCTTCCCTCTAGTCTATCAGTTCAAAATTAGGAACGGATTTCACAGGTAGCTCTTGAGTAGCTTTGCGCGAATACCCGAAAACAAATAAACATAATATAATACATACATATATTAAGTGGTGAAAGTATATAGTTAATCTCATTATTTTTAATTTCATTTTTTATAATGGCTACAACTCTAAGGAAAGCACTATCATCTTTAATAGAAAAAAATATTAAACTTTTGAAGAATTCTAAGACTGTATACTTAGACTATAAATTTGAGATCAATCGAAATCAGTCAGTTGGTACTGATATTTAACCTCTCTCCCTTTTCGGAGGCCCTCCCAGTGGCACAGCGGTATGTCTACGACTTACAACGCTAGAAACCGGGTTTCGATACCCGTGATAGGCAGAGCACAGATAGCTCATTGTGTAGCTTTGTGCTTAACTTTAAAGCAAATAAACAATACAATGCTAGAAACCGGGTTTTGATACCCGTGGTGGGCAAAGCACAGATAGCCCATTGTGCAGCTTCGTGCTTAACTTCAAACAAAATAAAATCAAACAAAAACATTTCGGAGGGGGCGAGGGTATTGCAATCGAATCTGTGTGTGTCTGTCTGTCAGTCTGTGTTTCCGCGCACGTATCTCTAAAACTAATATACCGATGTACATGAAAATGTTACACAAAATGGGTCAGTCCTCCTCAAATTTGGCCCGGATCCAAATCCGCATCACTTTGAAGCATTTTTCATCATGGGGAAATAGGGCATTTTCGCGATTTGAGGTTAATAATTCTGTAAAGTGTGATCGAATTTGTACCACATTTCATGGGCACATTAAAGTTGAGACTCCTCATCATACTACAAAAAATGCTCCGGATTTGCATATGACTTTATCAAATATAAACGCATGCAATCTCAAAAAGGAGCGGCGGGGCGAGGGTATGAAATATCTCTGATTGCTCTTGTTTTACTTGAGCGACACCTTGTGCACACAAAATGAATAAGAGAACACATTCATTTTTTAATGAATATTAAGGTCGTTACATGAGTGTTACTTTATTACATTTAGTGATAAAGTAACTAGAATTATTGAAACACTTAGTAGACATTCGTGTCCCTTGGCTTAGCAAGGGTTTCTAGCGCAAAAACTCCGAGTTTGATCCCCACGTAGGATACAGGGCAGATAACCCACTGTAGAAACAAACAAACTAGTAGAGATTGAATATTCAATCATGCTGGTATAACTATGATGTGTTAACTTTATCTTGGTTTATCCACATCAATTGTAGTATAACTATATAAATGGGTAGTATACCGTCCAACTTGCGCTTTCGAGAGTGAATAGTTAGTTGGTTTAGTTCGCTCACACATTCTGAATTTTCTTTTAAAATTAATTAATATATTTTTGTTTTTTTTAACGTAACACGAAACTTTACGAAAATAGACACTGTTTATTCGTGTAAGTATATTTTGGATATTAAAAACAAGCCTATAGCTTGTGTTCCATTAAAAATACACACGAGTTTGTGTTAATACAGACTGTCAATAATGACTCCAAGACCAAGTATATTAACTTTCGAAATTAAAAACCTGAACTGATCTTTAAAAGGCACAGAAGCCAGTCAGTTTCTCGGTGAATTTAATAATGAGAAATTACAAGTAGTTCTATTGTATTAAAATTAATATGTCCTCCTATCATTTCTTAAATATTCATCAAACAAATCCAAATTTCAAGTTAAAAATATCTTTATAAATAAAGGTAACTTGCGTTATTACGATACAATTTTATAATTACTAAATAAAAATATTGGTTTGGTTGGGGCATTAGTAAAGAACTTTTTAAATAAATATAACAATGACTGTTCCTTTTCAGTTTTAAAAGTTTGCGTTTTTGCAGTATCTGTATGGATAAAGTTTGTTTATTTTCCGATATTCGTACAAAGCTACTCAAGAATTATCTGTGTTAGTCGTCCCTGATTTTGAAAAGATAGGTTGGTTAGAGGGAAGGCTTGTTTGTTTTGTTTTTGAATTTCGCGCAAAGCTACACGAGGGCTATCTGCGCTAGCCGTCCATAATTTAGCAGTGTAAGACTAGAGGGAAGGCAGCTAGTCATCACCACCCACCACCAACTCTTGGGCTACTCTTTTACCAACGAATAGTGGGACTGACCGTCACATTATAACGCCCCCACGGCTGAAAGGGAGAGCATGTATGGTGTGAGAGGGATTTG